GTGTCCCCCGGCGGGGGGGGGGGGGGCGGGGTTTTTTTTTTTTTTTTTTTTTTTTTTTTTTTGCCTAACCCCCTTCACGCCAGTCTCCCTTGTGCCTCGTGCAAGCGGCTGCTGCTTTTGGAGGAAATTTGCTCTGGCGCTCTTGGCTCTGATACCCGCTCGTACTGCTTAGCAGTCTGGAAAACGCCTGGCTGCTTTCTTTGCCTGAAAGCTGGCCCTGTTCCAGGGATGCTGTTTGTCACCTCTTGACATGTTATCCGATAAAGACATGGGAAAAAGTGCATGTATACCTTTGGGACCTTTAAGGCATAGCTGGCCCGTACACTTGTAATTATGTATGTACTGGGTGGATCTTTCATAATAAAACTGGATTTTCAAATGAAGTGATGATGCAACTCCTCCTATGGCCAGCCAGCAGCCTGCTTCTGGGCCTTCCAGTGATGATCTCCTCAGTGATGCTTTGCTGAAAGAAGTGGGAGGGGGAAAAGGGAAGGAAAGAGGACAGTTTGCTTTTGTTTCCTTGCTCAGCTGTGTTGGCTTAGCGTGAGTGGATGGCAGGGTAGCGCGTCTCACCGAAACCGAGGTCTCCCCGAACGGGATGCTGTTGTATTAAAGGAGCCATCTGCCCTTCTCCTGCGGAGATGCCAGCTGTTGAGGTGAAATGCTCCTCCTTGATTTCAAGTGGCTTTCCCTGCCCTGATGGGTGTGAATTCAGGGGCTTTGTGTCCCTTATGAAGAAGAGAGTGGGTTCGCTGCAGCGCCCTGCGTGTGTCCTCGCTGAGCGGAGCAGAAAGGTGATCCCTGGCTAGAGCTGTCAGCTGGGCTTTGTGGAAGGAGCTGGTTGCCACCTTAAAGCGCTTCACTGCGGACTGACTAGTCTGGTTCTTTCTCTTTGACGCCCCTGAGGCCTCCCCAAGGAGGCAGAGCTCCTGCTGACTCAGTAATGCCACAAAAGGACTCTGTAATTGCTGTAGCAAAACACGGAGTTGCGCTCCATGGATGTCTCTTGTGCTCACCTACTTTCTTTTGCGTGTTAGGATAGATGTATACAAAAAATCTTGGATATCCTGTTCCAGGCTTGCACAGATAGTGCTTTGACAGCTTCTTTCATTTTGGAGTGTTTAAGAATGTGAATTTTGGTAGGTACTGTCAAAACTAATACACAGTTTCCAGCTGTTCAAGGCTAGTCTGTTGTGACTGCCTTTGGGTGTTGATGGGATAGAAGATGATGTGTGATGCCTCTTAAATAGAGGGTGAGGATGTAAAAGTGTTTCTGTGCAAGGTTTTTTATGAGTCTGTGAATCCTTTTAGGATCTCCTGCAGCTAAATTAACGACTGCTTCGTGTGTGTTTCAGGTGTCTGTGGAGTTGGGCGTTTTTTTTGTTTATTTGTAAGCTGTTCATGGATTGCTCTGTGCAGTCTAGTAAAACGCAACTTGGACTTGCTTCATCTTGTGTGACAGAAAGGCTTGTAATTAGTGCAGCATCTCTCGCTGGTTGGCCCCCTGTGAACGATCTATACAACTTGATGCAACTGATACTCAGCAGGTGATCTGGCGCAGCAGCTAAGAGCATGTGTTTGGCGTCCTGAAGTGTTTGCGTACAGTGCTTTAGCACTTGCTGGCTTTGGTGCTGTTCCCTAAATTGCCAGGGGGCAAAGTGGTGGGCAGTGCTCTGGAGAGCAGAGGGAGACCCTGCGGTCTTCTAGACGTACAGCTGCGCCCATTCCTGAGAGGGAGGCCTGCTCCTGTGTGGTGTGGCAGTGGAGAGTACCTTTTTTCACCTCTCTTTGCTAATGTTGATCCGTAGGCGTAGTCTTTTATTTGGGGTTCGGCAATCAGCCAGCTGACGGCAGCTCCTGCCTTCCCCAACGCATCATTTGGGGCTGACCACCTGTCTCGCAGTAAATCGGTGTAGCTGTATTTATTCCAGCAATAAGATGATACTAGGGAGCGTTTCTCCTCTCCCACCATCCCACGGAGCCTGTTGGCAGCAGTAGCAGAAGCGCCGAGAGAGAAGGAGATGTTTTCTGGGTGTGGTGGTGGTGGCAGCGGCTGGAAAATTCTGGGTGGGCTGAGCTCTGAGCAGGGCTGGTTGCCCCTCTGGTTGGGAAGCAGTTACGTGTTGCTACTGCTTTCCTCACTTTAAGGGATGAAACAGGTAGACAGCCCTCCTGGGCACCTTAGGGATATCAGCTGGCAGGGAAATGGGAATGGCATGGCCAGAGGCTGTGCACTGGGCATGGTACAGTGGATTCCCATTATAAGGCCTTTTCTTTCACCACTGTGAGCCCTGAAGACTAAATGCCTGTTGAGTGAAGGTGAATTGAAAAAACTAATATACCTAGAAACCAGTACGGTTCCAGCTGGAGCTTCCTGCATTTAATATCAAATACTTACTTCATTCATTATGTACAATTTTATGATGCAGGGAACCCTGCTGGTTTGAGAAGAACTTAAAGATTTGACTCTATTACTCCAATATTTTCCTCCTCACAGCACCTTATGTGCGTATTGGCTACTTGATGGTGGAAGACTTGTGGGTTTTTCTCATCCCATGCCTCTTCCCTGTATGTGATGAGGCTGTGTTAATCTGTATTCCCAGCAATCTGAGAAAAGGTCTGTTTGGGATCTGAAAATGGCTAACTGTTAAGCTCAATTAAACTATCAGCTTAGAATCTGCTCAGGATATTCTATGTTATGAGAGATTTTGTTGTTGCTGGGTTTTTTTTTTTTTTTGCTAAGTGTTATTCAGATGCTATGATAATAAGTGAAGCCATTGGACTTTCTAGAGAGCCCTGAGGCATATGGGCTTGCAAAATAACTTGTTTTGAAAGAGCAGGCCCTTGAAGTGCCACAACTTTCCTCAATTTTTTTTTTTTTGACTAGTTTTTGTTGGACATCCCACAAAACTGCAGATGCTGGACATTCTTGCGATAGCTGCTGCATGAATATTTTGCTTTGTTCGTGTTTTTGAGTGCTCCCTGTGAATTAGGCTGCCTTTTGTTCTTCTGCTGGCAGTTAGCATGCGAGAGCTCTTGTTAGGCTATGTGCAGCTCCTTATTTTAATGAGAGCAGCTTCTCTGTGGGCTGTTCAACAGTTGTTTTATTTATTTTTTTAAATCAATGAAGCCTCTTACTGCGGCTCTCTTGGGACAATGGCTTTCTTATGCTAAAGGAAAATGTATTCCTCTGGACAAAGCTGTGGGAAGCATAACATGCTCATTAGTAATGCTTGGTACATAGCCTGCCCTTCCCTTGTTCATTCATGTGAAGACAAATGACATCAAAGAGAGGATGTCCCTTTTTGTCTTCCTTA